CGTAATATTGTCACGTCATCACTCGATACCACATAACATGTCATGTCATCATCTCAATACCATATTATCAAAATGTAACATATCAACTATGATGTTAGCAATGACATCTTCGATGATGTCATTTTTTAACAACAAAGTTAAATACCGTTAACGAGATGGATTAAATTGACGCAATTTTTAAAATTAAAAAACTAAATTACTTCGATTTTGAATATAAAAATTAAATTAAACAAAATTGAAGCGTAAAAGGGCTGGATAAGTCTTTTGATCAATATAAATTCTTGTAGCCGCAATAAAGCAGTTAATCTGGAGAAAATTGGGAATAAATCATATACGTTTCTGACAATAATATTGTTAATCCATGCAATGACAACAGATCAGGCATAAGTGAGAGGAGACACCAGTACTTTGGTGTTCACTGTGCTCAAAAGAGTGGCAACGCCACTCTTTTTAACCATCAATTACTGGTAACATACACTTCAAATGTAAAAACAGAGTCCCATGAAGGAGAAAAGAATGTGGAACCCCTATAAGACAAGGAACAAAGATTCAATCTTGAACTGTTTCACCCAAATTACATGTCTAATCTTTCTGTATTTGAATAAAATGAAATTGCTTGCCTGGTGAAGAGAGATGCAAAACAACACCCAAGAGTTATCTTATGGCAAAGAAAAATATATGGCAAAGAAAAATCTATGCCATATATATAGATTACTCGAAAGGCATTCACCACCGTCAGTGTGGATGATCTTAGGTTCCCACCATCTGTTGTACAAGGCTTTAAAATAAAACCAAAATATATGCCTTTAGGCGCAAATTTCAGACTTAATTGAGCTGCAGTTAACATGCCTCTGCCCATAAAAAAAAACGGCAGTCACATTGTTCCTTGCAGACATGAGCTAGAAGGCCAACAATCATATGATCTTCAGGGGTTTAAACTTCTCAAAATTTGGCACCTACCCAGGAACAAACTTTAGCCCACACAGTGAATTTTTTTACGTAATTTGTACTTTATAAATGTATTCTAAAACAAACCTGACAAACTTCTGCCTGCAATCAATTATATGTATTATGCTAACTCCTCCTGGATTTGACCTTCTGCAACAGTATAAAGATCTCATAAACACCCAGGAATTAAATGATTAATGAAACTGTAGAAAGGTTAAAACTAAATCCTGCAAGCCTCACCAGCAAGATTGACAGCCAAGTTTGCTTGAGCATCAGCCTCAGTGTTCAGTTCCTTTCAGAGGTGAGCAAGAAAATGTTAAAATCTTGGAATGCAATAGGAAGCCAAAAGTGGCAGAAAAAGAATCTTATTCATGAACTGAAAACAAAAATAGACTTATTAACATCATTTGATAAAAATGCACTTCTGCAGAACAGTGGTTTGGTTTAACTTGAAGACACTGAAGGCAAAGAAACATCAAAAAAATAACATTATTGTAGATGCTAGTCTGAGATAGTTTAGAGTTGAGACCTACCAGTAAAACTAATCTAAAACTGACGTCTTAATGCTGCAAATTTTTACAAGCAAGATCTAATTCTTCATTCTGCACTATCTAGCACCAAAATGCCATTAAAAACATAGGCCAACAGTTTCTCATATACTGGTTTCAGGCCAAAAACACGCTACAATAGCCAAAGTATGCATGCCACAAAAGAGCTTAAATAGTTTTAAATGGATTTGTATTTAGTCAAAAAATTTAAGACGCAGGCAAGGCTCCAAGCTTTAAAACAACATTTTAACACTTAGTAATGATGGTAAGAATTACAAATCAGAATTATAAACTATTTTGCAAAGAGGTGATTGTGGTGAGTGGTGATAACAAGAAAAAACTGTTATTCTAAAATTAAAGAGCCATCAAGCATAAAAACTCGTCATACCCTTAAAACATGATTAATCTGGAATGAAAGAAACTTATTTTTCAGTTTCTTTGCCTGCTCATACAACTCAGACATGTGCTCATGTTTGACTTTCCATAAGCCCTGCATCTGTTCAAAGAACTACCAGTTATAAGAATACTTAAAATAAGAGAAGCTAACAAGAAGCTAATCTGCTTAACTTGAAATGATAATACTTCCATAAATGGAAAAATAAACTACATGGCTCTAAGATTTAGACCCTCATTTGAAGGGCCAGAAACAGCAACCCTTGAGCTATAGGTTTGTCCAGAGACAATTTAGTGTTTCCTCAGGTAACAGGCCAGATTAAAAAGAAGAAGAAGAAGAAGAAGATAGATTTCCTTATTTTTGGGGGGACAAGATTCAGTGTAGGAAGAGAGACAAAGGTAGAGAAGGGGGGTGTTCTAGCAGGAAAGACTTGTCATCAGATTAAATACCCTTCCCTTCCTGTAGAACCAAGTTCAGAAGGAAAGTTATGACTCTCTCTTATTTTAAAAGTTTTTGGGGAAAAGAGAGGGGAGGGGATTGTTCTTCGCACCCAACAGTTTAGAGGCTATGACTCAAAGCATGCATTACAGTTAGTATTGCAATTAGTATGTCTACTAGCTGAGCGAAAACTATTGCAATTAGTATGTCCTCTGAAATCAAAGTCCCAGAACAGAGTGAAAAGGATTGGCATACTGCAT